TTTGAGGCGCACTGTACGTGGTCGTGCAACACAAGACGCGAGAGGAGGTGTTGCCCTACGTCACGTTTGCGTACAACACGGCGGTCCAAGAAACCACTGAGATTACACCTTTTCAGCTGGTGCACGGAAAAAATGGTGACAACAACGCTCGACGCCCCATGACCCGACGGACGACGGCACCGACGACGCCAAGCTGGTCACCCAACGAGCAGAAGAGGTACGCCAGCTAGCCTGCCTTTTCATAAAAAAACAGCAATGTGTCGATGCTGGCCGGTACAATCTTCGCCGCCGCGACGTGAAGTTCCAGCCCGGAGACAGGGTGTGAGTGTGGACGCTCGCTCGCCGCCGCGGCCTCAGCAAAAGATTGTTAAAACTCTACTTTGGGCCCTAAAAGGTCATTCGCGACCTTGAGGACTTGAACTACGAGGTGCTCCCCGACAAAAATCGACCATCAGGACGCCGCCAGCCACTAACCAAAATCGTCCACGTAGTTCGACTCAAGTCGTCCTACGTGCGTTAGGATTGTGGCATTGCACGTTTATTTCGTTTGACCGAAAAATTTCTAGCCATTTCGGTTTTCCTTTCGCGTTGCATCGAGGCGATGCACTTTTAAAATGGGGGATAATGCCATCCACAGGGCTGAGAAAGCAACGCTCGGTCACGGACTTCTAAACGATTCGCGCTTATTCTGGTTCCCGTTGTAACTTTCGTCCTGCTTTCTCGTTCTCGAAAATCACAGCTCATCCTCGCCCCGAGCGCGCGACGCTCGAACCTTCTTTGGCGAACTTTCGAGATAGTGACGCACTGTAGATACACAGCTGCCCGCGACCTTGTCGAGTCAGTCTCGCCCTCGCTCTCTGTTACGCCACCGAATCGCCGCCTGCTTTTCTGCTGCCTCGACCCTCTTTCTTTACCTATTTGACTTTTCAGAAGTTTGCCCTTTAAACCTTTATTTTCAGTTCACTAGTTCACTCTTCGTCTTATAGTCACTATCATTCTTCAGAATATAAGGGCTCCACCATTGTGTACATGCTGCCCTTCGCATTAAGCATGCAACCTACTGGGCAACATCAACGTCTTCTATAATGGTACATTCGGCTGGTCGTTTTCCAGCACTCCAACCATATCAATCAGATTTGCGAGATTCGGGATCATCTCAAATTCCGATCTAGAAGAACGACGCGCGTCAGCCGAACGCCAGAGCGCCAACATGGAGACTAATGGTGAAATTCGGAAACCGGTTCCCTGCGATAACGCAAGCTACCGCCTGGTACAAATGGTTCGTCCTATACCTTTCATCCATTCACGACTGCAAAACAAAAAAAGAAAGACAACAACAGCTTTGTCTAAGTTAGCTAAAATAGAAGAAAGAATTGACTGACTAATTATCAAGCTGTTGCTGTGAACATAATTAAGCGCTAGAAAATAGCCTCTTCTAGAAATATAAGCTCGTTTTAACACGACATCATTGCTTAAAGACTCGTGTAGAATATTTTTAAAAGCCGCCGCAGGAAAGCCTGCAAAAAAGTTAAGAAATTTATAATTTATGTTTTATAATAAAACGGGTGCAAGTTTAAGACAGGAAGATTCCTTGTACGAAGGAAAGGGATCGCGCAGTGTCGCGTTAAAACTGTCCCCAACGGGTTTCTGATATCTACGCGGGTGGGCGATAAAAATAGAAGTTGCAAGGAATACGACGAAATCAAATAAAATTTCGTTTTTGTGAAAAGGTGCACAAGGACCTTGTGCATATTGATAAAATTATGTAGCAGCCTCTTTTTCTAACTTTATAGACATGAAATATGTGCATATCGATGATACACTCAAACAGTCAATCTTACAAACGCTGAGTTAACAAGAGGTTGTAAAAGGTATAATATAGCTTAGCCATAGTCGAAGCAATAATATTTCGAGCATAAATTCCTTAATAAAAAGCTATTTCTAGTCGTTTTTTTCACTGGAATTACCAATAGGCGTCGGAAAGATATTATGGTTAACACGTACACGCCGCTACATCGCGGGGCACATTAAGTACGAATGTTCAATCGCAGGCCCTATTGCTTAGCTAAAAGCAGCGATTCTTATATTGTTAGGGCTGATGATCACGTAGCACGTAAGTGATTTCTAGGCTCTAGCACAGACGTTTTTGAGGGTAACATAGTTATTGTGCACAGGCTCAAAACAAACAAAATATTAGGAATAGAACTTCAGACAACCGGTTGGGTGCAATGTACACTGCTCACCAAACTTATAAAATACGTGAAATGTCTTTTATATCATCGAATAGCGCGGAATCGTTATCACGGAGGCAGTCAAAAAAGCTGCTCCATGACGTAGCACTCACTGGAGCACCCCGCACAGGGAACACTGCGAAGGTCAACGTAAACGAGAACCGTAAATCCAAAGGCGCGACATGCGCAGGGTTTCGGTTTCGTCTTTCTTTTCGCTCAGTGATGACTTTAAAGTGAACGACGCGGCTGTGGCTCGAGCGAGACATGGAGAAAGAGGAGAAAAGGAGGATGCGCGATGGCCGTGAAAGACGTCGGTTGGGCATCGATTCGATCTGTACTGTAAATAGACGTTTCTTTTTATTCCTCTCTACTTCATGGAGTCCTGTCAGTCATATTTATGGCCACCAACATTCGCAGACCATCGACGTTCTGTCATCGGGTCGCTTACGTAATCGTAAGAAAAGAACGAACCTTCACTGACACCGCTTGCTGAAAGTTGAAACTGTGGTTGGACTGTGGACAATGCGATTCCAGCACTCACCTAAGCACCGCAGTGCGGCGGGTGCGAAAAACGCGGAGAATGCGCGGCAGACAAAATTGCTACATTCCGTGCGATGCAGCGGACATTTCGGCTCTCAGTGAGCGGCCTACCCTGCTCGGGGGCTGCTCCTATTACCGCTACGTCGTGAGCAGTTTTTTGGCTGCAGCCAGTGTAGCGCTTAGACACAGTTCGCGGGTTCTGTATCATTCTGGTGAGCACGATACAGGCATTGGCATTCGAGTAACTAATATCCGAGACAGATTACCGTCTTTATTTTCCTTCGTCGTCAACTCTTCATTGGCGGAGAAGAGGTCACTTGCGCTAAAGTTTACTTTTGAGCGTGCGAGGAAGCCGCATTGGGGAGCGCCGGATTTGAGCGGGACATGTGTTTTGCTTTGCGCTCGCGAAATGTAAAGCTTGCACTGAAGTATGAGGAGTAGGAAGCTTTGTGAAGCTTCGTACATTATGTGGACCACGAAAACATTACTAAATACGTTTTCTTTTTTTTCAGTTTTGGAGTGGTTCTGAGCAAGCGGACGACACAATGACTACTACAACCAAGCCATGCGAACGCGCATTTTAGGGGTCCGAGAGATGCACGACGGCGCATCCGCGCTGAACCACCGCCTCATATCGTTCCAGTCGTCTCTTCTGCAAAAGCGATGGTAGCTTCTCCTGCAGTATTTGAAGTCATATATTTGAGACCGCTCCAATGCTCTGCTCCGCAAGCGGTGCGCGTAGAGCTACTCTAGTGGTCATAAAAATTCGGTCCGTGTAATTAGACGACCCGGCGACAATCGGAGGCCCATTCTCACGCGATAGCGTTTAGGAGCTAGTGTCACAAAAATTTCGGCGTCGTCGTCGGCGTCGGTGGGGCCAAAAAAAATCCTATATGGCAAACGGTTGTAAACACGCGTCACGCCACCCTTGGCCGTGATGTCACGACCTTATCGACCCGCTAAATTTAATGGGAAACATTTCCGATAATTATAGCGGAAAATGTTGCCGCTGAATACAAGAAAAAAGTTTTCAGCCAAATTTAGAGCAATACTAAAACCCCAAATTTAGCAGAAAAATTTCCCGGCAAATCTAGGAAAATATTTTCCCCCAAAATTCAGCAGACTGTTTTCCCGAGACGTATAACGGAACATTTTTTTGCCACATTTAGCGGACAATATTTCCGCCAACTTTGACGGGAAAATTTTATTGGAACCACGTGACGCCACGTGACAATTTACGCTACGCACTATGCCCCGTTTGACCTTACGCTGGACCACAGCGGACGTTACTGGAGCCGCCTCAACCAATCCAGCGCTGTGAAACTACTATCACGTGACAACGCACCCGCACCTCGTGTATCTCTGGGTCCCTCTTGAAGGTCACGTGGCCCTCACACGGCACTGGATTGGCTTTGATACGGCTCGTAGCGTTGTCTGAGGTCCATCGTGAGGTGAAACAGTGTGTAGACCACGCGCACACGCTTCAACAGCGTGGGAATGAGCGCGGGTTTAATGTTAAGGCTTTGCGACCGGGCCCGATAACGCTATTGCTTACCACTCTGAAAGCCCAAGCTTAAGCGGCCCCTAAGTTCTTAGAACGCAGCTCTTAGGCACCCGTTTCCGTGTTTCGCGGCGTCAGTATCGCCGTCGGCGTCGGTATCCCCATCGGCGTCGGCGTAACCGCGCTAAATGCAGCGGAAAAATTGACGCCGCGTGACCTCAACACCAGTTCAGTTTCCTCGCTAAATTTAGCGGGGAAACTGACGTCACATGACTTGGTGTCACGTCGGCTATAAGCTAATTCTGTTTCTCTGCTAGATTTAGCGGGAAAAGTGACATCACGTGACCTCAACAGCAATTCAATTCCCCGCTTCGCAACCGACTTAAAAACGCCCAAAAGACGAGGTCAGAGTACGAAACACGCATGACGGACAAGCGCTTGTCCATCGTTCGTCTTTCTAACTCTGTCGGCGTTTTTTTGTGCACTTTCCAATCAGGATTTGTAAACGTCTTTCATGTTTTCACATATGGTTCATCTGCCTTCTCCGTTCTCGAAAGCACATTCTACATTCCGCTCCCCACTCAAATTTGTAAAAAAAAAAAAAAAAAAAAAAAAAAAAAAAAAGCTTTAACGGGTTAAATGTATCCAGTTCCTCACTGTAAATGACAAAAGTGATACTATTCTCACAGGTCAGGAAGCAAAAGGAAGTCAAGAAATAAATAAGTCACCTTCAATATTCCGGAATACGTTAGTATAATCGGATTTTCTTCTCCCCGCTCTACGATCACTTCGAGAGGGGCGAAGGACACTGGGCGAATCTTTATCTGCAAAAAAAAATGTAAGACAAAAAATAAGGCTTTCGTCGTGCAAATGTAGAGTGTAGAGAAGGAAAATAAGACACGGGACAGTTACCGCTAGGAATTGCCGTACTGTGTCTGAAGTAATCCAGGGTATCACACGGAGCATGGCAATGGGTTTGTAGCTTGTGGGCAGACTGCACGCCTCGGCGATGATGGCCATGTTTTGTGCCTGGATTTTCTGCGAAAGAAAATAGACACGCAGCGCTCCTTAAAAATCTTTAGAAGTAAATCAAACAAGTTTCGTGTAACGTTTTTCACAGCGGAGCTGTTAAGGGCTAGTTTTCACAGCATCTTGTCCGTGGGCAAACAAATCTCGACACAAAACTCTGGACAGAAACCGCCTCTATTAGCGACGGCGACAACCAGACAACCTGCTTGCCGGTTTTCTGGTTGCCACCGTCGCTCATAGATGGCGGCGACCTTTCCAGCCTTTCCACTCTTGCTTGCCGACTTCCGGCCGGCCATTACTTCATTCCCACCATAGTACAGCTTTGCTGGTATTGCTGCACCAGAGAAGAAAAGCTGAAAGTTTTTTCTCTTGAATTTTACGTTTTGTAATATGTGAGACATCTGCGGGGATTATTCTTAAATATAATTTTGCAATTAGGAAATAATTGATTCTTTTAACAAAATAATACCACTCCTCACTCAATGCTAGCTTTAACAAGGCGAGCATTGTAGACAGTATTAAATGTTTAGCGCCAACGAATATAATCGAAACCACTCTAATCAATGATCCCATCGTAGATTGTATTGAAATAGATGAAAACTCGAACGTAAAGGTTCCGCAACTGAAGTTCTTTTAGGTGTAGCGTAGCTACTTGTCTAGATAACTTGATATGCCACGTCAATGCTGCACGGCTATGTGGGTTCGCTGCCTATCTTCTGAGACCCAACTGAGGCAATGGAATATCCCTCTGGGCTCAGGTGCCCGAAACTCATTTGTGACCGCTGTGTCTACCGCTCACTACATTGTAATCTGTCGCGTTTTGTGAGGTTACTTCAAAGAAGTGACATAATGTCATTGGCCGTGATCCTGGCCTTGTGACTGCAGCAGTGGTGAATGTGTCAGACACCTGCTCTGCCAGAAAATGCTCTCCATTTTGAGAGTTCAGAGAAGTTTCGGTCGCCAGGAGTTGGGGCGCTGAAACGACAGTGAGAGCGCTCACTCGAACTTCTTTTTAGAACTTCGACGCCCGCCCGCCAGGATAGCAACATCCAGTTGCATGCCATTGCGGCTTTTCTGACGTAATTTGTCGCCACTTCGGGAATTCTTTTGAATGGGCAGAATAGGACGCTAACAACACCAGTAAACTACGCGACCCGAACACCCTTTTTAATTTCCAATGACTTCCTTGTCGACCCGTCCAAAGCAAACCTCGCTTCTATTTTGATGTGATTAACTTCATAGAGTACGCATTATAGCTTCAGTAGAAGGGTATGCACTTGGGCTAGTTGGTGATCCCTGTTTGTGAGGGTAAAAGCGCTAAAAACGACGGACGAGTAAAAGAAACGAACAACACAGAGCGTGTTGTTCGTTTCTTTTACTCGTCCGTTGTTTTTAGCGCTTTTACCCTTACACACATTATAGCTTCAGCAGAGATCATTTTAGGAACTTAACTTACGCTCAATTTAATTGTAGGAACGTGTCTGCTATTCCATTAAAATTGAACAGACTTGATCAGGCTGACGAAAACCGCGGTGTACATAATCTGTTACGTACAAAATATACAAACCCCGTGTGATATTTGTTAGGCACATCCCCTTCACATCAGGATTAATATTTTCGGGCACCCGTTATTTGCTTAGTGAGCTTAATGCTCATTGACCTAAGAAGTGTGTCCCATACCCGCTGTTTAGGTCACTGGATATATACAGTACTTGGTTAGAACAGTACTTGGTTACAGTACCCCCGGATTGAAGCACTGAACGGAGCTTTTTTTGTGCGTCCTTAAACGGGCCCTGGGAGCTTAGATACTTTATACTTGCCGTGAAACTATATCTAACTGTCGAACCTGACGAGGGAGCAGAACTGACAGCCAACTACGACGAGATGTTTTTATAAAAAGAGAAAGAAAGATGATGGTCTCTGTTTGTGCGTGTTATAAATTATAATCAACGAGCTCTGCCTCCTACTTTGTTCTTGCTGGCTGGCAGTATTTTCAAAATAAAAAATGAATAAATACCTCATATAAGAGACACCAGAGTTTAGTTTAAAAAAAGCCTGTTGGCCATGGTGATTGATATTATGTGTAAGGTGTATATACTTGGTGTGCTCTTTAGCAATCGGTTTCCTAAGTATTAAGTATACCTTTGATGCCTTCGCAACCGACTTGTGTGGTCATTGGTGTTCATCAATATGTGAGAACTTACTTTCCTTCTGGGGAATACCCGCCCACCGTAACCTCGTAGGTATTCGTGTCTAAATCTAAAACGTGCCCCCAGTCACTGCCTTTTTCCTGAGAGAGAAGTCCTTTTGTCGGCTTGAGTGCACCAATAAATAATTTTTTTAGTATCGGCTGTAGGTAATGAAAAAAACTAGGCACCAGAATTACTATCACAATATTAAAAAAAACAGCCATAAACTGCCTGGTGTAAGAACGTTGGGTGATTTTACCCTTCACGTTTATCATTTATTTTTGTTCAAGAGGGGTTTGGCCCGGGAAAGGGGGGGGGGGGGGGGGGGGTTGAGGTGCGTAGGCTGAATAGCACTGTCTGACTTTTCATTCTTGTATATTATTTATCCATCTCGATTTCTTTGGGACTCCATCAAAATTCACGTCGTATAGGCACGAACCAGTATAATACCTTCTTGTCTAGAAAAGAGTGAGTGAAAATACACGGTAGCATATATGTAGCATTATAACTGTATCTATTTAACTCTAACATCTCCATAGCTCGATTATCGTTAACACACTTCTAGGGTGTCTGAGCTGGAGAGATTTGAATGAAGTTTTTTAATAGCTTAGGTTCCTTCTACTGGGAAACATTAAGCATTTCTTTTAGGTGCGGTTCTTGTATTTAAACAAAATCAGGTGTTAAACTTAATTTCAGCATCCTCAAAGCATAAAATTAAAAGAGCCATGCAACGATTTTTCGTTGGAATGCTCTTTACTTTACACCGACTTATTGGTTCTGGTATAATCCAAGTAAACACGTACGTAAAGCCGCCAAGAATTTTTTTTTTTCGTGTGTGTTACGGTAAATTTTGAAGAATAAAACAAACTTTTTCTCTCGGACTTTCCCTAGCGAGGTTTAGTGGCGTAATAATGAAAACGAAATTATTTACGTGGTCATAGATGTATCCTATGTTTACGGTATTTAAATGTGACTCGCAGATTGAACACGAGCACTGCGTAAGCATTCGATTAGGACTTTTCAGAATGAATGCATCGTCGAGCAGTCATGTTCAGTCGCTGAAATGTCGGGAATAGCCGACCCACAACGATATTGGGAATTCTGCACGTGCCATGTGCTTGCAAACCCCAGTGCATGGCTCGGCTGAACATTGATGACATGTAATCGGTACCAGGTCATGAGGCCGTATGTTATGGCAGAGAGTTGAGGGAATATACTCTGATCGTGTTTGCCTGAGGTTACTCTGCAACTGCGACTGAGCAGTAGAAAAAAAAACACGAATACCTGTTTCTCAGGTTACAATCGTCAATTAATAATTCTTAGTGATGATTACTACAAGTACAAAAATCATGGCACCACCCCTTTATCTACTAAAGATTGTGGACTTCCACTCAATCTGCGGTCGCAGTTTTTGTTGGTGTATATTGCTTAGTTGAAGACAATGTTATTAGAGAAAGAAGTAGACTGTCTAAAGAAAACGTGGTGATTAAAATTTAGTAGCTCTGTTTGAGACGTTTTGGTTGGCCCATTTTTGACTCCGTCTCTTCTTTTAGTATAGTGACTACTTTAGCAAACTTTGTTTGAAAACAAAATTTGCGCTGGAAGAAACAACTTTCCGTTTGAGTCAGAAAAAGAAACAAGTGTGTTCATTGGGCGTTCCTTGCGCCCGACAGTGTAAGTCCACAAGGTGCAAATGTGCTTTATATTCTCTCATTAATCAGTTCTGAATCCTACACACTTTAGGTAAGCACACATCGATTGACGCTTCGAAGTCAAAGGCTTTATCTCCGCTTTATCAATTAAGGAACAGGAGTGAGTTCTATATTTATTATCTTCTTTCGAACACCTACTGACATGTCGTGCTCTCGAGTGACGCACGCGAATTGCTCATGGGGCAACGACCAAATGCCAAGGTCGTAGATTTGTGCTCATGCTACAATCGATGGTTCGATGGGCACAAAGGGCCAGGCTGATGTGTACAATACTTGAGGGGACAGGAATACGTGAACCTTGACGATTGCTGGGACAAAGCACCTCTCTTGCGTAAACTCACCTCCGTCCGTGGCGATGACGAACATTGACGCTGCTGTCGCTATGATTTTCAACTGGGCTCAATATTGTAATATATGCACACTACATCAGCCATCTAGGTTCTCAGGAAGTACTTCTGTGACGCAAGAAAACGTTGCTTTTATTAATCGTAACTACCCCTTGGGACTAGATCTCCAGACATCTGAAATTCCGACGGGTATATTTCTCAGAGAGAGGATTTAATTTGTTGTCCGCTCAAGTCGATTATAAAAGAAGTATTTGCTATGCAGTCACTTATAGCTCAAGAATCGCTGGAGGTGGTGAGTCTCGGCCGTCGTATTGTCGTCATGCAGCAACAGTGACTGCGCCATAAGACGATAAAAAAGCCTTGGAACAAATCACAAGGCCAGAACTGTGAACCCAATAGGTCACGCCCTGCCTTTCTTAAACTTCCATTGACCATAGGCACTGACAATCTAAGAAACGAAGGTTTGTGGCGAGTCCCAAGAATTTCGTAATTGCCTTACAGCCACCGATATAGCAGCATTAGCCGATGAGAACATCGTGGAACCAATCCCGAAACAAAAAGCCAAGAATATAATGAGCCACAACCTGGGTATCTTAAGAGAACACAGAACCCTAATAATTTTTTATTAAAGTCACATTGTCAACAAATACCCTTATTAGCATTTAAATATTCTGGTCATTGCTGCGAGAAAATTTCGCTTCTGTAACTTAATTATTATTTTTCTCCAAATGAATTAATTTATGCATTCTGGAGCCATATAAAGGCAAACTTTTATGAACATTCAAAGGCTTTTATCTCAGCTTCACTTTTTGATACAGTTGCTCACTTCAGGGAAAAATATAATTTGTTAATGAATTGACGTGTGGAGGCAAGGTTAGCAGTTTCTGTACTGAAACGTTGCAAGGAACGCGGCTGTGAGTATATTTTCTGCATATTTACGGCATTTTGATATGACAAGCTGCAGCATATTCAAGTTTATGCACGCAACATAACACATCACATTTAAAAAAATATGTAAATTTTGTAATTTGTTTATAGCCGCGGGACATGGATGTTATGCTGTTTCACAAGAAGAACTGGCCATTATAATTACTTTTTAAAACGATAGGTTACATCGGGATGCGAAGTGTTTATTTGATTCAATTTTACTTCACTATTTGAACATAAATAAAAAACTTAAAACTTTGTATGCCATTCTCTTTTCCAACTATAAATATGCACTGCAATATTTAGGCAAATAAGCCTAACGGTTACACAATTCGCCTTCCTGAGTAGTAGCCTAGAGTGCGCCTTGCCAGCAAGACATGCTCGAATAAAGAGTGAGTAAACATGGGAGCTAATTGATGTTAGAGATATAAATAAAGACGGAGACGACGAATGTTTGTCCCCTTCTACATCCGTCGCCTCCGTTATTTTTCTTTTTTTCTTTTAGGTACTCTTGTTTCTTTTTTTTTTTTTATTTGTGGGAAACGGGATTGCCGTTAAGGAGAACGACCTCACGCAACGTAAACATGCTCTAGGTCTATGGCCAAGAGAACACATATGCCGCAATAAAATGAGATACAAGTACGAGTTTAAATGGCAGAAAGGCGAACAATTAATGTGTAATTTTTATATTTATATACTTTCCTAGGCGTACTTCCCGTCAAAAGCGATTGACCTATACTTCGTTTCACCATACGTCCAGACACATCTGACGCTTCTAGCCAATGACACGCTATATATTGCTGAAGGTGTTTGTCAGGTTTCTATACGCGTTTTATCAACGCTGGACAAATCATAAAAAGAAAGGACCTGGTGACTTGCACTTTTCACGCTGCTTGGTAGGTTTCATTAGCTCGTAGCGCGGGTTACTTTTGGACTTAAACTGAAACAAAATATAGTTCGAAAACATAGAAACTCTAATTTATAAACAGCGCAAGATTTTGCTTACGTCCGTGCATAATAAATCCTATTTGACTTAGAGTAAGACACATAATGTTTAGAAGGCACAACGCAGCTTGAGCATTAACCTGTCCAGTCCAGCGAACACCACATAGACAGATGGCCTCTGCATGGTCGCCTCTCCCCCTATGAAACGTCGTCAGAGTCGGAACGCGCTAACTCGGCTGTAGGGCCTGGACTCGACCTTGAACGGGCTGATTGGACACGAGCTCCAGCCGAACACTGACGCAGCACTCCTGCCCAATCTCACGGCCTCGATCGATCTGACTGGGATGATGCATGCGGAGGCCTTCTGTCTAGGTGGTGTTGGTCCAGCCTGCTCCCGTAACATACCATTCGTATCAGCTTGTAGTCTTCCGTGTCCAGCTGCCCGTCCTTCTGCATGTCGATAAGCTCCTTGCTCAGGTCGTTCAGAATGCTCGTGCTGGCCTGGCGACTGCGGAAGGCTACTATGATGTCCGGAAAGCGAGACTGCATAGAGGCACTCCTCTGAGCATGATGCGATACAACTTATGAATGACGCATGTCTAACACAATCAAAACGAGAAAATGATTTTACGGCCGTGTCCCTGCCAAAAGAAAATTTGACTTTAACATTCGAGAAACCGGAGATACAAACAAACGGAGATTAATTAAAAAGAAATAATAAACGTGATGAAAATAATCCCCGGAGAAGGGGAACGACAGGGACAAAGGACAAACACAGATTTCCAAATACAGCTAGGTGACTGGTGCGCGACCGAAAAAATCCGCCTGGTCCGGGTATCCCCGTGTTCTCTGCATCCCCAGTGGAGTGCTCTACCAACTGAGATAACCAGGGCTTAGGCGTCAATAGAGCAAACGAATTCTATCAGCTGCCACCAGTCGTACACCAACAACAGTGAAGCTTGTATTTTAAGATTATGATTTTAATGCAATTAAATGCAAAGGTGCAAGCGAGCTGGACATGAATGATTAAAATTATCCCTGGAGAAGGGGAACATGAGGAACAAAGTACAAACACAGATCTCCAAACACAGCTAGGTGACTGGTGCCCGAGCGAAAAAATGAAAAAATCTGCCTGGTCCGGGTATCGAACCCGCGGACCTCTCCATTTCCAGTGGACCGCTCTACATTTGTCCCACTTGTTCCCCTTTTCGAGTGATTACTCTTATCATTCTTGTCCATCTCGATTGCACCTTAGCATTTAATTGCGTTATAATAATAAACGTACCGGTTTTCTTTTTAATTACCAATCTTCAGTGTCACATCGTTCTCATGCGTATTGGGAGAATACTCTTATAATCATGCTTCCCGATGTTCGACGGTCCTTATATTCATTCATAAAATAACATCTTATGAATAAAAATATGTACATTTTACTTTGTTCTCTTTTTTTGCTACATATTATCGCATCTCGATCACCACCAGAAGATAGTCATGTAAAAGTACCACAGTTAAGTTTGTCCTTTCGGTGGTGTGGAAGGAAGGTTCCACTCCTATGGTCTGGAGCGTGGTGGCGCGAACGTCACTGAGTAACGGGTCGACTCACTGCTTCTATTGAGCTATTAACATTTATTTACACTTGTCCAACTCCAAGTTACAAGTCCCAACGTGGGAGACCATCCTCCCTCGCCCACAGTCTCGGCCAAAGTCCAAACCAAAAAGTCCCTCTCTCTCCCCCGTCACGGGCGTTTGAGAGCGCTGACCCCTCACTCTCAGGTGAGGGTCAACCAATCATTTGAAAGTTTTTCTGGAGCCACGTGACGTCCACCGTTAAATAGCTGGCAAAGGCGTCGACCCCCATTCGTGAACTTGCCAACTGACTACAGCCGACAGCTTTTTAACTTCGTCCATGCATCCCGTTGCAGACAGAGCGGCGCCTTCCCGGAACCCCCGGTTGAAATTGAAGAAGCCCCGTAGAATGTACAAGCCTCCAGATTATAAAAAAAAAACACGAAAACATCCTTTCCCGAGGGGTTATGTCGGTGGAAAGGCGCACGCGGTCCCTCGTCAGATAACCACAACCACACAAAACGACCCGGGGGGGGGGGGGGGGGGGGGGGCGCGAATTATGTATGGCCGGCATATATGATAAACGCCGCCAAACAAGACGACCGTCGCGCGGCCGATCGAGAAACCGGCCGTCTTCCCCAGGACCCTTACACAGCGCTTCGCACTTAACTATACTTTTAACAGTTAAAAATATATATTTTAATTGGATTGGCGATTACCTAAACGCAAGGAAACAGTTCGTGTTAATTAACGGTGTACAGTGCTCTTTATAAAAAATAATACCTGTAGTCTCGCAGAGGTCGTTACTCAGACCTCTCTTGTTTTCAATATTTATTATCGATATAGGTCATACCATCTCTTCATAAGTTCGATTACATGCAGATGACTGAAGTTTGTACAGTGATGCTGATGTGTTTACTCTTCAAATCAATTTAAATACCGTTGATGCATGGCGCATGCCTCTAAATGTGTCTAAATGTTTAGCGTCAGATTCCCTAGAAAAACTCACATTGTTCCTTCCTCCTGTAGTATTGGTGTCGTTTCACTTGAACAGGCATCGGAGGTTAAATATTTCGGAGTAATTTTTCGTATACTTATTTCTAAATAAAAATGTCCACTATATTACAGCAAAAGCAGACCTGTCATTGGGATTTATTAAACGCAATCTTAAGTTGCCTCCCACATCTCTGAAGGAGGCGCTATATTTTTCGCATATACTGTCTGCCTTTGACTAAGCCAGTGAAATTTGGGATTCCTTCAGGCAGAACCTGGTAGATCAAGTTCAAAGGATACTTAATGGTGCTGTAAAATTTCATAAGGGTAATCATGATTACATAGCTACAAGAACTATACTTAAATTGTGTCTAACTTGGATACCTCTGAGTCAAAGGCCGAAATTTCTTCGTCGCAAACTTTGACAGAAAGTGGTTTATTACGATACCGGTATTGGTAGATCCAAGTACATTTTTGAACATTCCTATGCATCAGAAAGGGGAGAAAATTTTCATGGCGCGATGCTAATTGATGAAGTGATAAATTTTATTGCAGAATTGATCTTTTCAAGTGTTCATTTTTCCGGCGGTCCATTCACGATTGGAATAACCTGCAAAGTGACATTCTTAAAACAATGTTGTCGGAGCTGCTTCTATAATCATCGTTATGCATTACTTATTGTATCTTTCAGTTTTACTTTGCGTTTTGGTGTGCAATGTGCTGTGTGTGCCCACCCCCCCCCCCCCCTTTCCCATTGTGACTATTTAGACCATGTAGGTGTTCGAAATAAACAAATAAATATACCCCGATCTACATTTTCATGGAATCACCTTTTATCGTCAGCGGTAACTCCGACTGTTGGAGCCGCCTTAAAATCATTCGTTAACATGAATCAACTGGCCCAAATTTTCACTTTGCCTTGAACGCTGCATTAACAGTGTTACTATGATATTGTTTTATATACCACTAACGTTTTGCCCTCACAAACTTTTTAGGTCTTAGCTTGTTTGATATGCCCGTCATCCCCTTCCCACTACAATGCCATCGTGGCCCTTCGGTATTTTAAATAAATCATTCAATAAAGCCTTCTGTCGCACAACTTCCTCATTTTCAAATTTCGGTGGTGGAACAAATGGCTCCATTTTTCCTCCAAGTGATATTTCCTCCCCACAAATTGTTATTTAAGACGCATTCCTAACTTTCTGGAAACCCGCGTTTACCCTATCTTTCTGGCAATACTTTTTATTGTGGCATGCATCTACTCAGATGCAGATTATGCTGTATCACGGCCTTAAACGAGTTTTGTTTAAATATAAACATTTAGGCGTCGTTAGTGCCCGTAAAGCGATTAGAATTCAAGAATAAGTCTAACTATGGTGTAGCCGGGGACAAATTGTATGAAGCTGAAACAAGTCCTCCCAGCAAGATAGAAGACGAAAATATAAAATATTTCAAGATATTCCGTTTACATCATGAGGAATACAATTTATTTATATAAAGAATACAATTACATATATATGATTCGTGTTTATAGCCTAACCATATTGTCATCAACAATATTACAGTTCTTCATCATGGGGGAAGGGGGGGGGCTGGCAAAACTTCAAGATACTTATAATGTGGTCATAGGACCCAATGGAAAAAGAAGCCTGTTCGGTATAGTAATGAAAAAGTATATGATACTGAGGCTAAGGATTTTTTATTTATATTTATGTATCGCCGAACATAATGCTCCCTGAAAACAAAAAAAAAACGTTTTTGCAGTTGTTTGGATGAAATAGGAGTTTTCAAAGCATTTTGCTGAGAACAATTAAAGCCGGACGCTAGAAGCGAATGTCTGAGATAGTTTGTTTAGATTTCATACCCTTTTGAATTGCTCCTCTGAGGTAACATAGTTTATGGGCCGCGTTTTCAACGCAAAGCGCAAGGAGGTGATGTAACCAATATGAGAATGCATTCTACTCCACCCATTTGCATTGTACATACTCACTACAACATCACATCTTACCGTAGCAGTGTGAGAACTTCTCGCCAGTGCGAATGCATACAGATCAAGCTGTATACGCAGTCTCGTATTCACGCGCTGCTAAAAGAAATGTCTACCACCAGTGCACCTAGACACTGCATTCGATCAAAAACATCAAAGACGGCCGTCGCCGCTGTCTTGAGGCGTGGCCGCTACTAGAGATGACGACAGCCGTCGCTCCCAATTCAAAAGGAAAAACCACGAGGCTGCGCGCCTCTAACCGTTCCAACTACGCAAAGCCTGTCTTATTCAAGGCCGCTGGATTTTCGTGGAATGGGGCGTCTTCTCCTGGTCATCTATTTGCGCAAACTTTGAGCGTCCAAGCTTTGCATCGCTTCCTTTCATACTCGCCACGTGACAACGCACGGATGCGCCCGTTCAACCAATATGCGCAAGAGGCGCCAGCCATTAGATAGCAAGAACTTTTCAAAGATAAAATGGGCTCCCCTCTTAAGTCTTTTATAAGTTGTTACAGGTTAAGAAAAGCAGTACAAGCTCCATTCATAATGCCCTCCCCCCTTTTTCACTTTAGCAGAGCGAACTCTGGAGAGAAGGCGAGCGAAGATATTGAGGCCATTATTCATGGCGACCAGAAACATTTGAGGAGGGGGGGGGGGGGGGGGGGGCTTGCCCTTGTTTTCCTAACGCGTTGGAACAAACTATAGTCCTAGAGTCCCGAAAATGAATGTGGCCATGCCTGGATCTCAGCCTGCTTCTGGAGCACCAGGAGCCTGTTGAGAGTGGCCCTTCCGCGGATCTCCATGGCCAGCTCGGTGGATTCTACGAACTTCCAGACGTTCCTCTGGACCTCCTCTTCACCGGTGACGATGGCGTGGCCCGCCTCGTACGCCGAGTAGATGACGGAGTTCAGCAAACGATGAACCTCTTTCGTGAAGAACTGGACCATCAGCTGCAGTGGAAGAGAACAGCTTAATGAGGGTGCCGCCAGATGTTGTCTTTCAGCTGAAGGCGCATTATGTCTATAGAAGTGGGGTATCCATTTTACCGAGACATAACAGTAGCGTGTGATGAGCTTGGAAAAACAAACCAAAAGGTTTGAGCTTCCTTGCAAGATCACTACAGTTAATACTGTTGTTGCTGGCGAGCTAAATAAGCATAGGTTTTAGCTTGCTGGCGCAATAAGTGAATTTAATTTTAAGCTTTCTGAAGAAACAATTAAATCGTATCTTAAGTTTCTCGACAAGCTCATTAATGATCACTCTGAGCTAGCCGGAAAATCTAATTAAAGCTAATTTCTAGGTTGCTAGCGATATAATTAAAGCTAATTTCAACCTTGTTGGGAGATAAGTAAAGCTTAATTTTAGTTTGCTGCCTATATATACTTAAATCGGATTCTGAGCTTGCTTGCGAGCTCATTAAAGCTAATTTTGAAATTAGAGTCGAGCTAACTAAAGCAAATTCAGTGCTTATTTTTGAGATAAACAAATCTAATTGTGAGCTTGCTGGCGAAATAACTAATGCTAATTCTTGACTCGATTGCGTGTCAATTTAAATATAATTCTCTTCCTGCTGACAAGAAATTTCTCCGAATGAATTATGCAGCTTGCCCTTACACAATTAAATATTTTACAAAGAGCGATAACAAATAAAGAGGTGTGTGCATCAACTCCTTAACATGCGAGTACCACGTTATAATACAAAATTATGGTAAGGTAAGTATTTATAGATATATTATTGTAAGTTATTTTGAACTCCAGACATAGCATTTTTCCATATTCGCCTGAAGAAGGAAAGATTGGAACCTAGAAGACCGCGAAAGTCTACTCATTTTTGCACTAATTCCAGGCGTTATTTAAGTAAATTAAATGTTTAGTCTGTATTGACGTCACATATCTAAAATTTTGCGTTTCTTTATTTTTTTTATTTATTGCATTATTTTTTTTTCTAGAAAGTGAATATTCATTTTCTAACTTTTACTGAATAAAGTTTTATCTTTTTCGTTCTGTCATGCGTGCGGTATTTCCAATCAAGTCACGACCGTGTATGTTCTTTCGTTTGCTGATCGCTGTCAGGATCGGGTTTATATTTTCAAATTGTTTCACTATGCTGTCATGAGCAGTGTTCAACTGCCATATCAACCGTGATAATCAGGAATCTAGGTGATTGAGCCTGAACTGTTAGAGAAAAAATTAGTAAGCTTTTGTTTTCACAGTAGCGTGTATCACCTTTATAGAGATGAATGATGCATCTCTGGTTTGACTTTGATATGCTCATAATGAATAATCAAACAAAAAGAAAAAGAACACATCTTGTAATGTGTTTTTACAGCCGTTCGGAAGGAGAAACTCACTTGAGACATCACATCAAATTTTGTTTTCAAAATACTGCATAGCTTTCCATTATAATGCTTTGTGTAAACAAATTGGGTTTCCAAAAGAAATTCGTCCTAACTGGAAGAATATCTTTAACTGCATGCAAAGACAAAAGTTTTAATATCTTTTTTTCTTTTCTTCTGTATATTGTTTTTTTGCGAAGGTGGTTGATTGTCGTGACGGCCGAACGGAAAGGCAACCCTGGGGTGTAGTTGCTGCATTTCAAGTTGTCGGTGACGAAGGCCTTCGCACAAATGTGTTTAAAATTGAGGCGCTATTTGGCGTTGGAAAAAAAACAAAAAAAAAACCACTTGTCTTCAAGTTGTGCACCTCATCAGCTCATCGTGGCGGATTACTCCAAGTCAACTTTCTGAGAAGGGTGGTTTTATGTTTACATTTAATATTTTTCAGTTTCTCACAACGTTACTAGAACCACTCAGTTGGGAAAATGCCATAGAGACTGCTCTGAAAAAGTACCCCAATCTGTCCTCGAGAACCGAGCTAATGGCGAACACAACGCCGCCATTTCTCCCGCAGCGGCCACTCGAGGAACTGCAGGTTACTTCTATTTTGGCTTTAATCGGCCATTACGGCTCCGAAACAGATACAGCGGAAGAGGTTACAGGGGAAGCCACCCCCGTCTCCTCAGCGGACGCGCCGCGACTTACCGCCCAAGTTAAAATGCACCTAGGTCGGGACGCGCTACTTGAAAGCACCGCTGAGGCATGGTTTTATAAAAACAATATTAATTGTGCCGCTAAACCTTGAAATCTAAAAATTAAAAAAAAAACAAAAAAACATCACGCGTCCATCGGTTTGTACTAAACTCCAATAAATTTCATACAAAAATAGTCTCTTCCGTTTGTTTTTTTCGCAAAAACATGCTTCCTAAAAGCTCAAGGTGACCACAGTACAGACAAATGATAATGAGTGGCGCTGTTGCCGTATTGAGCTCATTCTCGGTGGACGCCAGCGGCCCAAGTTTCGACGGTGAGTTTCCCAACTGAGTGTTCTAGTAACGTTGGTCTCTAATCGCCGAGCCAGCTAACGCTTGTTGCGTGCATTCGCGTGCCAATGCGAGACGTCGGCGTCCGCGCTCAGCTTAAAAATCCCGCTTCCCCAAGATGCCACCAGGTGCGGAGGCTAAGTCGATGACGCGCGGTCTGATTCGTGACCGAAAAGTCGGCGCACCCTCTTCCTCCTTCGAGTTGACGGAGAGGGTGCGCAACGTTGATGTCGCCTCTCAACTCTCCAGCCCTAACGGTTTTGAACTCCGATCCGGGCAGGAACGGGGAACGCAGCGGGAAACGCGCGCCATCTTGCCCAGGCAGAGGTCGTCTGCCGGAGCTGTGCAGGAAGTTGGGTGAGACTTTGATAGCCTTTATGGGCTTGGGACTCTAGATTTTGATAGGATGCTCGTGGTTACAATATGACCGAGCGTCTCGTGTATTTGATGAATTCAGCAAGGGTGCGAAAGTCATCTTGAAGGCCGCGCCAGGTGGGCAAGTAAGATATCTCGCTCGGTCGAGCCAGGGCTGTTGGACGCAGAGTAGCAGTGCTTCGTGCTGTTGCCTTTCTCGCAGTGGTAGCAGACATTTTTGGCCATTGTTTGTGGGGAGACCTTGGCAGATGTCCTTTTCGAAATTCGGGAGCAGAGAAATGGGTCATGTGTTTCAACTGTACCGCGCATTATGTGAAGCGTTGTAGAGCGTGATTCCAACCGTTGACTTGTGATTGCGTTATGCGACGCTTGCATTTGGAGTTCACCGTTTTCATTGTAAGTACGGCACCAAATTTTATTTCTGTATCGCATTCGTTCGCCCGCTGAATGATGAAGAACCGTGAGGTGTGCAGCGTCTGAAAGCACTTGCTGAAAATTAATTGCATTCTTTGTGTTGCATGCTGGTTGCAGAAATTGTCACAAATAAAACTATATTGGCTGTTTTTAGGGTTGCTCTTTTCTACACAATGTCTCCATTCGTGAATGCTCGCATGCAGTATTGTGTGTAAGAGGCATCTTCGACATTCGCGATGTCGTCAAATATATTTATTTCCATTGGTAGGCAAAAAAAATCACACGTACCGCACTGCGATGAAGTCCTTGCTTCGTGTCCTTGCTACCAGTTTCCTTTACATGAGTTTCTGTTTTAACATTTAACCTACTATGGTTTCTACACCCGTCAGACGTTAAAGAAATGTACGGGCTAAGTATTCAGAGGAAGCTCCTCGTACCTTTTTCCACTTTATCAACACGAACGCTGGGGAGATGGTTGCTTCCCCTACAACATTCGTTCTGCTAAAGAAGAAAAGGTGGAAGGAACTTGTCCTGGACTCTTATCTGTCACCAATTAGAGACACACAGTAGCCAATACGTTTAAAAATTACATAAATAACTCATCAGGAAACACGTCAAAAAACCCAAATATTGTAAATCGAGTTCCATGCTATTTATCAACTACTTTTCATTAGATAATCATAAGAGAAATCAGATGTCATATTAAAAAGCTTAGGCACACGTGTGGTAAATATGTTTTAGACACTCATCGAAAACTTACCAGGAAACTTATCAAGAAATCTAATGAAATTTAAATCAGTTCGATGTGATTGGTCAATTACTTTTCATCAAAAACTCATGAAACATTTTTAGAAGGTAAGCGGCAGTGTTCGCACAAGAAATAATCCACAGACACAGATAAATACAGCCAGATGTTGTAATACTATACGAAAAGTTGTCGCCACTTAATTCAAGCTAGGAAAAAAAATCCTTTAAAATCGGAATTATACGTGATCTTTCAGTCAAAATGCTCTCGTCGAGTGAAATTCAGGGGCGCAGGCTTCCGATAGTTGCTGAACCCTACACATTAGTACGCCAAAAGCCGACTCCTCATTGCAGGAGACTTGGACACTCATCATCTATACTAGGGCTATAATACATCGGACACGAGAGGCTTAAGGCTGCCAAAAGCAGCTTAAACTTTCAACCTCACTCTCACCAATAACCTCGACTACACCACCAGGTACGACCTCCAATCAGGGAACCGAGCCTCAATTCCCAACCTTACTTAGGTGTAGCCAAAACATGACACGGTGGGCGAGGCCCTGTGGGCTGATTATTACCCCGTTTAGATAGAGGTGGTATCAGGTTCGAGTTGAATGCGAACACTGGAGCGCACGGCCGTCGACACATGCTGCGCCTCCTCGTTGCCTCTGAAAACTGACAAATCTGCGGTGTAAAGAATAGAGCGCTGCCAGGCTATGCGCCCTACTCAGGTGTGTTTGAACCTCGGTCAGCACAACTCAGGCTTCGACGCTGTGCCGGTACTGGAAGCATACATGAGAAAGAAGGAATGTCCCGATAAGTGTATTAGTCAGCCCTCACTTTCCCTTCACAAAAAAAGAAGTTGATTTTATGGACACGTGTGGTGGCCGAGTCATTGCTGACTAGTCACATTTCTGCAATATTTGTGGCTTTTGCTGTTTCGATATTGTCGTTTTTGTTTTTATTTTCCGATAAAAATTCAGTTGATAGTCGGCGTTCATCCTGTTTGCCTCTCCGTCTTCGTATTCGTCTTTACTG